GGAGGGAAATCTGACGCTCCCAAGGTGTCAAATTTCCGGGATTGGATTAAAAATATTTAATTAACTTATCAAGGAAGCCCAGAGATGTTGGCTGATCCTTGTAGGAATGGAATTTTGCAGAACGGGACCTCAGGCTGCTCAGGTCACCTTTTCCTACCTGCTGTGGGTGATTTTGGCTGGGATTAAGATGCCATCCAAGGGAAAAAAACATGTGGAACCATCTTTTGTGGAAATTAAGGACATTAATGAGCAGCTAATGGGAATATTCTTCCAAAACCACCTGTTTATCCCAAATTTATTTCTGGATAACACTTTTAAATGGGTATTTTTCCATTTCTTCCGTGCAAATCCGAACACAATTTTCCCTCTCCTCAAACCTTATGTTTTAATAGAAAATGTTAATTAAACATTTTCCAGCTTTTCCAGGTCTGTGGAAACTGCTCTGAAAGAAGATTGGAAAATGTTTTTTTCCTTTTGGCAAGTCAAATCCCTTTGCTTTCCCATGGCACTGGGTTATCAGCCACACTGGGAACAAATTGTCCTTGATTTACCCGGAATTATTTGGGATCATATGACTCCCATTTGTTACACAACAGCTCTAAAGTGATGGGGTCACAGGTGCCTCTCCCAGATCCCAGCACTTCTGGAACAGCTGGGTGACCTTGCCCAGACTTCCAAAGTCTCCCGAAGGAGCAGAAATCATGGAGCTCTTCCCCTACCTCATCCTTGCTTGGGTTTTGGGAATGGGGAGTTACAGGTGGAAAAGTGTGTTTTGGAAAAGTTGGATTTGTGGAGCGGGTGATGGGACCGGAGCTTTCTCAGGAATATTCCTGTGTCATGCCAGGAGGTATAACCAGGTATTCCAGAGGAATTTGCTTTGATCCAGTTGGAAGAACCCGACATTTTATGAATTTTTGGGATATTGCCGAGGTCTGTGTGTGCTTCCTAAACCACTTCCAACCTGGTCTTGGACACTTCCAGGTATGGGGCAAGTGCAGCTTCTCCGGGCATCTCGCTTTGCCCCCTCACAGGTTAGGCTATATTCCCGATATCCAATTTAAACCCGCCCCGTGTCCATGCCAAGCCTGTCCCCCTTTCCCCATCCCTCCACGCCCTTCTCCAAATCCCCTCTCCAGCTCTCCCGGAGCCCCTGGCACCCCGGAAACACGAAGGATATTAATTCCTAGAGCAGCTACAGCTCGGGAGAGCTCCGCGGGTAGCCAAAGAGCGATTATTGATTAAAAAATTCCATTAAATTGCTCCGCGCTCCCGCCCCCCCCAACATGGCGGCGCTGGGCGGAACCATCCCCCTCACGCTCGCGAAGGGGGGGCGCTCCCCCCGCCCCGCCGGCAATGGCTCCGCCCCCTTCCGGTTTGTGCCGGAAGCCGGAAGCTGCGGCGACCGGAGGGTCGCGGTGGCGCCTCGGTGAGTCCGGGGGGGGGCCGGGAATGGGAATAACGGGAATAACGGCGGGATAACGGCGGCATGATGGCGTTTCTCCCGCCGCGGCGTTCGCTGCAGCCCCGCAAGTGGGCAGCCCTTGGCGTCCACTTTCCTGAGCGTCTGTGGATGCTTCCCAGACCCACCCCAAGCTTCCCCAGTCCCACCGTTAAATCCCGCTTCTCCCTCTTAAACGCCGTGAAACTTAACTAATATCCCTTAAAAGACCCAAAGCAGATGATTTCTGCCCCACACCTGCAGCGCGGGATTTAATTCCCAGTTTTTCCCTCGGACGGGTTTATCTGGATCGTGGGTTGGGCAACCCTGAGCTTCAGCGTGGCTGTTGCGGCATTCCCGGTGTAATATCCTTGGGATGTTCCACCTGGATGAGAGGTAGAAGAGCTTGGAGTGAATAGGACAGCGCAGGTGTGTTGTGTTTCCTTGGTTTTTAGGACATTCCCCACATTATTCCGTCCCATCTCTTGGAATTAACACCACACACGGGATGCTTGCTAAACATATCAGACAGCTGAGAATATTTGGGATAAATCATGGATATGGTGCAGGAAGTCCATAATTTCCCTGATCTTTCTGTTAATTTTAGTGAATTTCGTGGCACGAGGGTGGAATTAGATGATCCCTAAGGTCCTTCCCAGCCCTGTGGGCATGGTGGGATATGGTCAGATCCCAGTTTCCTTGCTGGGACGGGATGGAGACTGGAACGAGGTGGATTCTGGAATGGGATGGAGACTTCCAGCTGGAATTTGCAAGTTGGGGCTGTGGGTGGATTTTTCCTTGACAAAACAGCCTGGGACACACAGAATTCCATCCAAATAGGCTGGGGAAAGGGGAAAAGTCTTTTCCCAAGCAGGAGTTGTGGGAATGTTGTTTCTCCCTCTCAATTAATGGAACCCAGTGCAGCTTCTCTGAGGGCTTTAACAACCCTGGATTTCAGTTGGAAACCTATTCCCAGCTGGATTTGGGAATGGATTTGCCTCTTTTTCCACGTGCCAGGAATCTGGGAGGATGGATACGCTGAAAAACCGGACAGTGGAGGAGCTCCAGGAGCTGCAGGAGGATTCCCAGGAGATCGAGCGCTTGGCTTTGGAATCCCAGGAGGTTTGTGCCAGGAGGTGGCTCCGGGGTGTCCTTGTCCCCTTCCCCTTGTGCTCACCATCCCAAATTCCATAGGTTCAGGAGCTCCAGCTGGAAAGGGAGATGGCCCTGGCTGCCAACCGGAGCTTGGCCGAGCAGAACCTGAAATTCCAGGCGCCGCTGGAGACGGGACGCAGCGATCTCTCCAAGAAATACCAGGAGCTGCAGGAGCTGGCTGGGAGGTGCAGGGAGCAGAAGGAAAAGCTGGGTGAGCACTGGCATCTTCACCCAGGAAGGATTCTGCTTCCTGGAAAACTGATATCCCTCTTTTTTCCAGCAGCTGGAGAAGCTGAGGGTGTTGTTCCTCTTGGATTTCCCTCCTTCCATCAGCAGTTCCCAAGCCCTTTCCTGCGGACTCTTTGCTGATTTTTTCCTGGTTTCTGTTCTGTGATAGTGATTTTTCCTTGCTTTTTCTTTCCTCCCTTTGTTTTTCCTAGAGAAATTCTCGGCAGCGTTGCAGCCTCAGACTTTGCTGGATCTCCTCCAGGTGGAAAGCCAGAAGATTGAAGAGGAATCTGAGGTGAGTTTAGGGCTTGAATCCATTGGGAATTTCAGTGATTCATCCTCAAAGACTTGCAATTAAACCCAGTCCCTAAAATCATGGATTATCTTTGGAGTCTGTTGGGTTTTCTCCAAAGAACCGGATCCATCCGTGTTTGTGTGTGGGTGTTGCTCCTTGGGATGTTGCTGGGAGAAACCTAAATCAGGATTTTAGGAAAGGGGAGCAGAGGGATGCAGGGCTGGAGAAGAAGGATGCAGGAATGAGCCCGAGGCTGTTGCTCTCTTCCAGAAAATGGCTGAGAAATTCCTGGAGGGCGAGGTGCCCCTGGAGACATTCCTGGAGCAGTTTTCCGGGATGAGGAAGTTGTCCCACCTGCGCCGGGTCCGAGTGGAAAAGCTGCAGGAGATCGTGAGGAAGTCAGAGGCATCCCAGGAGCGCACCAGGGACTCTCAGCCTCCTCCTCCTCCTCCTCACGTTCCCACGGATCCTCCAAAACCCTTCCCATCGGGATCTCCGGCCTTCCCTCTGCCCTACAGCCCGGCTCCAGCCCTTCCACCCGGCCCCACTGCCCACGGAGCGCTTCCTCCCACCCCTTTCCCGGGATCTCCGGCCACTGTGGGACACGCGGCTTCCTCCCAGCCCAGCTCCCAGTCCACCTTTCCCTACCCGCTTGCTCCAGCTCCCGGATATCCGGCGGCTTCCGCTGCCGACTCTGCACCGGGGTATCCCAAATCCACCTCAGGAGGCTTTTCCTGGTCTCCATCCCGGGGCCCACCACAGCCCTTGCCCTACCCTGCTCCCCATCCCTCTCCTCCCCCTGCCAGACCAGGATACTCTCCCTACATCCCACCTGGACCAGGGAGACCGCAGTGTCCGTACCCCACTCAGCCCCCTCTCCCGAATTTCCCGATCCCAACGCAGGCTCCCTATCCCGGGCCTCCCCCACCCTTTGGATACCCCCCACCTCCGAACCCTCAGCATCCGTCCTGGCCTGGATACTAATCCAGGATTTCTGGGGAGCATCCTGTGCTGATTCCTCCTTCTTTTGGGGACTGAGGAAGAGGAGGGATTCCAGGGTGTTGCTCCTGGATCCGTCGGTGCAAAGGAATTACACGGGAGAAGTCACGGCTCCGGAGGTCGGAGCGAGAGGCAGAGCCAGACCAGCAGAAATCCAGAGAGGAGAAACCTCCAGGGAAACCTTGGAGCACCTTCCAGTGCCTAGAGGGGCTCCAAAAGAACTGGACAAGGACTTGGACAAAGACTTGGAGTGATGGGATAATGGGGAATGGCTTCACGCTGTCAAAGGGTGGGTTTAGATGGGATTTTGGGGAGAAAATCTTCCCTGTGGTGGTGGTGAGGCCCTGGAATGGATTCCCCAAGGAAGTCATGGCAGCTCCATCCCTGGAAATGTCCGAGGCCAGGTTGGACAGGGCTTGGAGCAAGTAGAAAGGGATTGGAAGTGGCTGATCCCTGCGATCCCTTTTCACCCAAACCATTCCAGGGCTGTCAGTGGGAGTCGATGATTCCCACCTGGGCCTGGGCAGCCTCCAGTATTCCCGACCTCCTGTGTGGTGTTTTGGGCTCCTCACATCTCCCTTCTCAGGAAACACTTGGAAACACTTGGAGAGAATGACAAACGATGGAAATGGGATTTGCTTTGCTCAGCACTTTATCCTTCAAATCCTGCCTGTATCCCTTTAAGTTATTTATAAGGAACAGTTACTAATGGACTAGGATGAGGGATTGATGGAAGCAATTCCATCCCTGGGATTAATTAGAGTAATAAAACTGGATAAATTAATTGCACTCTGGAGTCATGGTCCTGCTTTGGGAAACAACAGAACATCCGGATAAAGATTGATCCCTTTATCCCTTCCTGGCATCCAACTTCCTTTCACCCTCTCCCAGAACCATCTTCAAGCCTGCTTCAGTTCCTGCTTTTCTTGCATTTATCCCTGGGATAAAAACCAGGGAAAAAGGTGTTTCCCTGTCCCGCTTTTCCCTGCTGATGGGAGTTTGGGATCACCTTGGGATAATGGAAGGAAGAGGACGAGATGTAATTAGTACAAAACCCCAATTTTATTACAGGTATTGGTTATTAAATATCTCAGACTCAGTATTCCCGCCCTTGCATCCTTATCCTTTATCCATCATCCCAACTCTTTACCCTGGTTTGGAGAAGCTGGTGATCCCACTATTCCAAAGGTCTCCTTGCACCTCCCCCCAGCTCTTAAATTCCTATAAATAGCTTAAAAAAAAAAACCAAAAACCTCCTTTTCTCCCATGAGGAGGCTGGGAAATGCTCCTGGAAGGGTGCTGGAGTGCTGGGATGCCCCCAAAGCTGAGGTGGGAGGTGGGATCAGCTCCTTTGGGAAGCAGGGAATCACAACCTGCGGGCGGAGTGCAGGTCGTAGTCGCTGTCTGAGGAGTTATCCGGAGGGTTGGAGCGCTGGCACGCTGCTTCCAGAGCTGTGGAGAGCATGGATACAGCTCATTGCGTGCACATCCGTGGAAAAGGAACGGGAAGGAGCCACTTCCAGCACTTACCTGGGTAAGCAGAGAGCTGGGAGCTCTTTTTGGGGGGCTGAGCGTAGTCGTTGTCCCCTCCCTGTCCCCGAGGCCTTGGAGCAGTGCTGGAGCGGTGGAAAGACACTGGAGAAAACAGCAGGATTGGGATTTTGGGGTTGGAACAACAGTTTGGAGGGAACAAACCCACCTGGGAAGGGGCTGAGTAAAATTGGTCCCTGCTTCAGGCCCGCATCTCCTGGATGAGTTAGATTCCAAAAGGAAGTGAGATCCAGGGCCCTTGTGCCAGGATCCGGGGGGGAACAGCCCGCCCAGACCCCAGATCCATCCCCAGGAACTCCAAATCCCATTCCCAGCTCCCCAGCGAGCTTCTCCTCACCCGTCTGGTTGAGTCCCGTGGGGCCGATCCACTGGCGCTGCTTCTTCTTGGAAACTGAAAGAGAGGGGGAATTGTGTCTCCAAGGATCTTCCCGATCCTTCCTGCAGCTGCTTCCCCCCCGCCAGCCCCATATGTCATCCCGAATAATCCCCCACAGGATCCTCCACCTGCTCTTTTGTGTCTGCTTGGAGCTTAATCCCTCTTCCCACTCCCACGCTCCGTGTGGGACAGGCTTGGGGACAATGGGGCAGGTCTGGGGATAATGGGACAGGGGGATCTGCCAGGCTGAGCAGCCAAATCCCTCCCCAAGGAGTTTAGGGAGCTGCCAGCCCTGAGCCAGGATGTGGGGATGGTGGAGTGGGAGAAGGAAGAAAAGGATGAGGATCCCGAAGTTGTCCCCTACTTCTCTTCATCAGCTTCCGATAGGCGGGAGGGCCACAGATCAGGAAAAGGATGAGGAAAAGCAGCAGGGCCAGGCAGATGCTCACGATGGTTCCAGCAGAAGTTCCAGTGGGAAGCGGCTTTGAGTCCTGGCCTGGGAAGAGCATGGATGTCACCAGATGTACCCAGCTGGAGCTTGGTGCCAAGATGTGAATATCCGCTACCCCTCCAGGAACGCAAATCCCACGTGGATTTTGTCCCCCCATCCCTGCCCGTTCTACAGGTGTGGGAATTCCAGCTCCCAGCACCGCAGGGATCACGTGGCTTACACACAACTCTGGTCTGGGAGCAGCTCCGGATATTCCCAAGTTTGGGCTGGCAGAGGTGCAGGGGCTCCAACCCACAGGTGACTCCCATCGAGGGAGGCCCCCGGATTTCCGTGCTGGAAGTGAGATTCCCGCAGCCCAGCTCCCGGCAGATCTGCTGGCCACGCTTTCCTCGCTGTGCTGCTCCAGAGTCACACAGATCCCACCACTGTCCCGCATGGAATACCTGGATGTCCCCTTCGCATGGAGTGGGGCCGGCTGCCAGCCTCCGCAGAGCCCGCGGCTGGGAACCTGTGGGAGAGGGGTTGGATCCACAGGGAGGGGTCAGACCCATGGGGAGGGGTGAAATCCACAAGGAGAGGGAGCAGATCCATGGGTAGAGGAGATCAGACCCCTGGGAAGACAAGGGTCAGATCCATGGAGTGGGGTCAGAGCCACAAGGAGAAGGGAGTCAGATCCATGGAGATGGGTCAGACCTGTGGGGGGAAGAACCAGAACCACAGGGAGGGAGGAGTCAGACCCACAGGCAGACAGGGATGATATCCACAGGGATACCACTGGCACATGCTCCTCCTTCTCCCAGCATCAGCTCCTGGCACAGGGATGTTCCCAGCATCTCCCCTCATGCCACAGGGATTGAACCAAACCAGAGCCAGGCATGGAGGAGCTTTGAACTCTTCCCATGGGAAATGCAGGATGGAAGCTGGCTCTGCCAGCTGCCAAGCCCATTAAACCCCCAAGTCCCACAGGATTCCAAGCTGGGGCAGATGGCAGAACCCACAAGGAGGCTGCTCTGAGCTTCATGGCTTGGCACCGAGATGATTTCCAGGGAAACACTCATGGAAAATGATAGGGAGAGGCCTGTGGCTGGGAGATGCTCATGGCAAGGGGAAGATGCTCTGGCAGGGACATGCCTGTAGCAGGGAAGAGGGTCATGGAAAAGAAGGGATATGCCTGTGACAGGGAAGATATTCAGGGACATGGATCTCCTTCCCGAGGCAGGGAGATGCCCAAGCTGTGGAAGGTGCTCAGGGAAATGCCCGAGGCGTGGAAGTTGCTTAGGGAGCTGCCCACTGCAGGGTGCCCACAGCGTGGTGCCTGCCAGTGTTCCAACCCCCAGCTGGAATTTGGGATGCTGCCATGGCCTCTCTCCCTTCCTGGCTCATCCTCCTCAGAACTGCCATGCTGGGCACTGCCCGGAACTGAGATTTCCTGTTTGCCTTTGCACCCCGGAGAGGAAGAGCAGGAGTGGGTGGATGGGGCCCATGGGGCAGGCGGAGATGGGGCTGGTTCTCTGTTCCGGCCCCAAAATCCCCCCGGGGTATCCCAGTGGAGCCGGAAATCATGGATGCTCCATTCTCACCCGAGCAGGTGATGAAGGCGGGCGCTTTCCCCCGGGAGCTGGTCCTGTTGAAGCAGTCCAGCAGGGAGCGGCTCCCGCAGGAATCCACCGCCTCCCACCGCACCGGCAGGTGGATCCCTGGGTCCGGCTCGCCGTGGCTGCTCCCAGCAGTGCCACAGCGCAATTCCCGGCAGATGGCGGTGACCAGATGTGTCCAGCTGTGCGGGATGCTCGCCACGGCCCCCCACAGCCCCTGCTTGTGCAGCTCCAGGAAGCCGGAGCAGCTGAAATTCCCGTCCACCAGCCGCAGCCTGGGGGGTCCTGGAGAGGGATTGGTGATTAAAGAGGAAGTGTTATGGATTGGGATGGCTTTTTTTCCATTATTTACCAAGAAGTTCCCAAATTTGAGGTTATGGATTCCTCGGGATGAGGTGCTTACCCGTGGGCTCCAGGGTGGTGGCCGGGGGTGTCGGTGGGGGCTTGGGAGTGGTTTTCACTGGCTCTGGAATGAGAAGAGAGGGACGACATGAGCATGGATGATCCCTAGGGGTTGAGGTGGCCGGGCTGGGGGTGCAGGCTCACCTCTACAGGCAACAATGACGTGCTCAGTGCAGTTTTCCAGCTCCCAGTGGCATCCCAGTGAGTGTCTGCACCTCGTGGGCTGACTCTGTGGCCCTTTCCCACCAGGAATGATGAGCTCCAAGGGCTCAGAGGTCAGGGGGCCGCACTCCAGCTGCTGGCAGACCCAGTGCAGGTCACTCACGCTCACGCTCTCCCAGCAAATCGGTCTCCATTGATTTTCCAAGTTCACCTCCAGTATCCCAGTGCAGCGGCAGCCGCCTCTGGTGAGTCTCAGGATAGGTCCTGTGGGAAAACACCGGGAAAACACCATCACTAGGGGCTTTCCTTCCCTCCCCAGCGGGTTTTCACCCCGGGAATGATGGAAAAGCCCTTGGTGGGGGCCGTGGGAAGCAGCACTAGGAATGGGAGCGTGGAGGGGTCGAGGGAATGTGGGGGCCTGAGCTGGGACCCCACGACGCCGCTTCCGGATGATGCAACTCCAGCACCCGCCAGGCTCACGGAGCTGTGGAGGCATTCCCAAAGGGCTGCTCCCCAAATTCTCACTTGCAGGGATCCAGATGGCTCCTCCATGGTCAGGGACAGCTGCAAGAAAGAGCGGAAATGGGGTCAATCCCGCATCCCGCCCTGGGGACCCCGAGTTGGGGACAGCGGCTCCGCTGCTCGGCCTGTAGATGGTTCTTTTAGGGAAAAGGGGAATTTTGTGGGGAAATTGGGATTTTTGGGGGAGAAAGGTGGTTTGCTGCCACTCCATCCATCTGCTGGGGGATCTTTCGGGCTGAGAAAAGACAAGGGCCCTGCAAATTACCGCTAATTAGCCCTGCTCCTGGGTGGAATGTTCAGGAATGGTGCCACGAAGAGGGAGGGAAGGAAGGGAGCCAGCAGGGAATGAGGATATGGGGATACCTGGCTGCCCTCAGCAACATTGGCTCAATCTTGGGGCCCTGGGGACCCCCAGAGTGAGGTGGGTGGGGGTTTGCGGGGTCACCAGGGTGCTTCCCACCCCAAGCCCCAAACTGTGGCTCACTCAAAGTTCCGATCTGGAGCGGGAAAACCGTGGGGGAAGGTTCTGCCACGAGATGAGAGCGGTGCACCGAGGTCAGGGTGCCTGGTACTCACCCCACATTCCCAGCAGGAGGCACAGGATGGGCAGCCGGGTTGCCATGGGCTCCGCTGGCGGGATGGGGGCACGGGAGGCTCCGGGGGCTCCGCCGCCTCCGCTGCCCGGCCCGGAGCAGGCGAGGGAGGGGGCCCGGACAGGAACCTGCTGTTTTTCCTCTCTCTGTGGTTTTTTGACGTCACCTCTGGGCCCGTTTGAAGACTCCGTTGCCTCCCTGGGTCCCGCCAAGCACGAGAGGAAAGGGGTGAGAAACATCTGGGGTTCAGCCCCTGCCAAATCCCAAGGTCTTCGCAGTCTGGGAAAGGGAGGTAATGAATATATCCAGTGCCGAGGGAGCTTTGGGGGTGCCTGAGCCCCCCAGAGTTACAGAGGAGTTGGTGCCCATCCTGGCATACCCTAAAACCCTGTGATTACCCCCAGGAATGGGATGGGGGTAGGTTTTATCCAGGCAAATCCCAGGTTCTGGCATTCCAGGGACACCCTACACCCCTGCAAGGGCATGTGGGGCACCAGCGGTGCTGGACCCGGGCAGGGCAGAGGCGTTAATTGATTGTGCCCTAATTAAATGCTCTGAATCCAGGTCAGGCATGCTAATGAGGCAGCTGATTTCCATTGACTCCGTGGTATTCCTGCTGGAAGGGGAGATGGATGGAGCTTCCCATCCCATCCTGCTCCACCATCCGTGGATGTTCCAGTCCCCATCCCTGGAGTCAGATCTCAGCATCTGGGTGCTCCCTGTAGCCATCACTTGTTCCCATCCCAGTTATCCCAGGGCTTCTGCTCATCCTGATGGGAGCAGGTCCCCATATCCCACATGGGGATCCTGGAGCTGCTCCCCACCCACTTTGGCTTTGAAAATTCCCTGGAAAAGGGGTGCAATTCCCAGGCCTGCTCCCACAGGAGCAGTGAGTCCTCCCACAAGACTCATGCTGCAATCCCCTAAAATTTGGGATTCACCTCAAACATCCCAGCACACTGTGCCTCTAGGAAAGCTCCTGTTATCCAGGGGTGTGTGACCCCCATGGAGATGGGGTGCCTGGGGTCCAGCCCTTCCCTCAGAGCCGTGACTGCCTCTGGAGACCATGAGATCCCAGGGATAGGATTTGGGTTTGGATTGAGCATCTGCCTCGCCTCGGGCGCTGCGAGTCAGCTCAGCATCCTGAGCGTGCCGTGGCAGCTCAGGATGATTGGAATCCCTTCCCGGGGGGAGTTTGGGGGGCGCTGGGAAGTGCTGACAACGCTGTCTGCCGTGAGGAGCCTTTTAAAAAGCAGGAGCTGCCTTTGGAGCGAGCAGGAAGGGGCTTGTCAGCTGTCAGCACGCTGCTGGGATCATAATGATGAGGAAAAGGGGGATTTTCCGGGCGGGAGCAGCTCGGAGGAAGGGTTGGCACTGATGTGGCTGTGTAGGGATGGAGGTGACACCTTGGCTGGGTTGTCACGCTCCAAGGGCACTGGTATCTCCAGGGAACCGGTGCCCCCAGGCTCTTGGTATCTCCAGGGAATTGGTGCCCTCCAGGGCTTTGTTATCCCCAGGGAATTGGTGTCCCCCCAGGGCTTTGGTACCTTCCATGGCTTTGTTATCCCCAGGGAACTGGTGTCCTCCCAGGAATCAGCACCCTCAGGACACTGACAGCCCTCTCATGTTGGGATCCCACCCAGTACATTGATACCCCCTGAATTTTGGGACCCCTCCAGGACATCAGGACCCCCCACAATTCATCGATCCCTCCAGGCCTGTCCGTGCCACAGTCCCAGCCATCCCAACACCATCACCTCCCTCCCAGGCCCCCCTGGCACCCAGAGCCAGGAGCGGGGCTGGGGCACCCCCTGTGCCCGCTCCGCTCTCAGCCCTCGCCTCGCCCCGTGCCCTTTGTCGGGGTTTTGCTGCTATTTTGGGATTTCCTCCGTTGTTGTGGCTCCTTTATGCGGGGCCTCTCGCTCAGCAAACAGCTGGAGGATGTGGGGGGGGCCCACATTTTCCACTTGGGGTGCAGCTGAACCCCGACCTCCTCCCCGGGGAGACAGAAATCCGACGGCGGGGCCGGGGCGGGAGCAGCCGGCTTGGGATGGGCAGCAGGGAGTGGGGCAGAGGGGTCCCAGTCCCGGGGTGATGGATGGGTGCTGTGGCCCCTCCCAGCTGGGAGCACCCCAAATCCCAAAGCTGGGACGGTGCTTGGCTCCAGGAAGCTGCTTGGCTCCAGCTCCTGCTGGCATATGGATGGACTGGGAGGTACTGAAGGGTTCAGGGGCTGTATCCCACCCTTCACAGGGCACCATCCAGTGGGTTTGGGGTGGCACCTCAGTGGCTTCCCTTCCAGCATCCCTGGACCCTTCCTGGACAGGATTTATGGACAGCACATTCCCAGGATGGGGACTGTCTCAGAAGGGTGCAGGCAAGCTCTGGGGGGACATGTGGGATTTCCATGTCCGCCCTTCCTGCAGTTTAACGTCCCACCCTGGTGCTATGGAGCTGGATCAGGGCCCTGCTGCCCCCTTCCCTGTTCCTGTGGGCTGGGACTGGGATATTTGGCCATCTTTGTGTCACTTAATGGGCAAGTGGGAGCACTTGGTGGCCCAGCGGGGTCACTGTGGGGCTGGTGACACCCCTATGGACAAAGGACATGGTGGGAAAAGCTTTTAATGGCAGCACAGAGGAGATGGCTGGAGAATTCTGGAGGAGTTAGCCAGAGAATTCCAGGAGATTTGGCCTCTGGAATGGTGGGAGAGGCTCAGTAGGCAGAGTCCTGGATGTCATCGTAGTCGCTGCCCTCGGAAAAGTCGGGATCCTCCCCGTGTTCCCCCGAGGGACAGGATGGATCTGACCAGCCTGCAGAAACAGAGCCCATCAGGAGGATTTGGGAATTCCCACAACTGCCTGTGTGCCCCACCTCCAGCGCAGGATCCTCACCTGGATGTGAGGAGGGATCTCCGGCGGGCTGTGGCTCCTGCACGTTCTCGTACCACTCCCCCGAGGAGGTGCTGGAGCTGCTGTCAGGATCAGGATCTGCCAGAGCTGCAGGTACCCAGGGCTGGGAGGGCACTGGGGCAGGTGCTGCCGGGGAAACTGGGGGAGCTGGGAGAACAGAGACACTGACTGGCACTGTCCAGCCCTGCTCCCGCTCCATGGGGTCCCATTTCCTCACTGAGGTTGAACCCATCCATCTTCCCATCCTTGGGGTCCCTCTATCCCTGCTCCTCTGCTTGGGGTCCCTGAACTCCCATTCCCTCCCCATCCCTGTGTTTTCTGCATCCCTTTCTCCCATCCTTGGGGTCTCCCCATCCCTGCTCTCATCCCTGCTCCCAACTTCCCACCTGTGCCGCAGCCATGGCTGGTGGCTGCCGGGTGCCACGGGGTGCCATGGGCAGAGGGGGGAATGCTGCCATTCCAATAGGGCTCCATGGCTGAGGATGAGGATGAGCTGGAGGAGCTGCGGAGTGGGGCACTCGACTTGGCCGGCTCTGTGGGAATAAGGACATCAAATGTGGGAACAAAGATATTGGAAGAAGGGGTGGCCACCCTTCCATCCATGGGACAGACCCCTCTTGTGTCTTACCATCCTCAGGGAGCGGCTCCATCCTGTCCTGGCTGGGTCTCAGAGGGAGAAGATCCTCCCTGGGATGGTGGCGCAGGGAGTCTGTGGGAAGGGGAGAGGGGTGGGAACATCCTGGGTGACAGGGATCTCAGGACAGGGCATCAGGGATCCCAGAGGAAGTGGGATGCTCACTGTAGAAGGTGGACAGGGCGACGGGAGGCTTGCTGCTGAACTCATAATATTCCGAGTCGGAATCAGAATCCTTGGAAATGGCTGTGACCAGACGGTCTGGGGGAGTGACAAGGCGATGTGGCATCTGTCACCAGCCAGCACCTCTGGCCCCACAGCCCCTGGGGGGACCTGCCAGACCCACCTGATCCTTTGGGAAGACTGGTGGGATTCTCCCTGTAGTCGTTGGGGATCCTGGAGTGTGTGTTGGGGCTCTGGGAGCTGTGGGTCACCAGGACTGGCATGGGTATTCCCAAGGAGGACATGGCTGTGGGGACAAGGGGATGCACCCACTCCATGGCTGATCTGAGCCAAAAAAGTGGGGATTGTGTCCTAATTCCATGTCGGGATCCAGAATTCCTTACCACTTCTCCTCCTCAGCCTCAGCAGGGCAGCAGAAAAGGCCAGCACGGAGAGCAGGAGCAGTGCAGCCAGCACCAGGCACACCACAAAGAGGGGACTGTCCACTGGTGTCCCCAGGGTTGGGGTCCCCTCCTCGGCTGGGACAGAGAACAGACACAGCTCATCCCACATGAATATTTCCTCCCGGGAATTTTACCCTGATCCCAGGGAATGGCCGCGGGCTCGGGCACTCACCGTGCAGGACAGTGACATTGCTGGGCGTCACCTCAGCTGCGGGCGTTGGTGTCTCCAAACCCTGGGAGCCTGGAAAGGGCGGGAACAGAAATGAGATGCTTGGGAGAGAGCAGGACCCAGGCCACACCTCAAACCCCATGGGGAAGGATGCGGTACCGTTGCAGATGACCCCGGCAGCCCAGGACTGGTAACAGGGAGCGGATTTATTGAAGATCCAGATGCACTGTGCCAGCGAGGGCTCCAGGCTCCCGCACAGGTACGTCATCTTCCCGGGAAGCGTGTGTCTGAAGGCAGGCCGCTGGAGCATATCCCCGCATCCCAGCGTCCGGCACAGCACCGTGGCCTCCGTCTCGTACCAGGTGTTGTTACACACCGTGCTCCAAGTGCCACGGAAAAACACCTCCACCCTGCCGGCACATCCGTCCCGGCCTCCGGAGAGCCGCCACTCCTGGTGTTCTGCGGGAAGAGCACAGAGATGAGGATGTGCCACCCACATCCATCCCCGGCTCCGGAATATTCCAAACCCACCTGAGCAAACCACGCCAGCGACCTCCTTGTGGCTGCAGTCGTGCTTCAGCGCGGCCGGACATTCCCAGAGGTGCTGCTCGTGTCCCTCGCATCCCACCTCATCCCGGAGGATGGGGCCGTGCCCGCGGCCGAAGGCGGCGTTGCCGCGGGCTCGCACGGCGTGGCCGCACTGGAGCTGGCGGCACACGACGTCGGCGTCGGGAATGTCCCAACCATCGTCACACACCGTCCCCCATGTCCCCTCCTGCTCCAGCTCCACCCGGCCCTCGCAGCGGCTCCGGCCGCCCGCCAGCCGCAGCGCTCTGGGACCTGGGAGATGCACTGGGAAGGGTGACCTGGCGTTATCCCAGAATCCCAAAAAGTTGAGTGCAAGGATGTCCCTCG